ACAATGTTGTCCATAGCTTGTCATGATCCACACAATTGAAAACCTTTGCGTAGTCAATAAAGCACAGGTAAAACATCTTTCTGGTATTCTCTGCTTTCAGCCAAGATCCATCGGACATCAGCAATGATATCTCTTATTCCATGATCTCGTCTGAATCCTGCTTGAACCTCTGGAAGTTCTCTGTCAATGTATGCTTGCAGCAGTTTCTGTATTACCTTTAGTAAAACTTTACTCACATGAGATATCAAAGAGATTGTCCGATGAATTCTGCATTCTGTTGAGTCACATCTCTTTGGAATGGGCACAAATACAGATCTCTTTCAATCAGTTGGCCAGATAGCTGTCTTCCAAATTTCTTGAAATAGATGACCAAGTGCCTCCAGTGCCACCTCATTTGCTTGAAACATTTCAATTTTGATTACGTCAATTCTTGGTGTCTTGTTCTTTGCCAATTCCTTCAATGCACTTTGGACTTCTTCCTTCAGTATCATTGGCTCTTGATCATATGCTACCTCCTGAAACGGTTGAACATCAACCATTTCCTTTTGGTATAGTGACTGTGTATTCCTTCCATCTTTTCTTGATGCTTTCTGCATCATTCAATAATTTGCCAAGAATCCTTCAAAAACGGGCGCTAGTGGCATCTTTAGCCAGTATCACTCCCTTCACCCCAACTGTGACACTGTCTCCACACATGCCAAGTATCCTTAAGGAGGTCACCACTGCCCGCATGTTGAAAATCGCTGCGCAAGGCTCACTAGAGCTGAGACCCCTCCTCTCTCTGCTCTAGTGTGTGTCTATAGAGGGTCCTACAGCCCCTGGCTCTTGGGGTGGCGGTGACTGATAACACTGAGGCTCCATGAGGGCAGAGAATGAGCTCTAGTCACGTGCTTACCAGTTGAGGAGTGGGATCTGAACCATGGTGACAGATGCCAGAGCTCATACCCTTGGAGGCTTTGTTGGGCCAAATTCTTCTTTACCCTGCTCCTCCCAATGCTAATTCCACCAGCTGATTCTGCAGGGACCCACTTCTGTAATTGCTGTTAGGTGCCATCGAGTTGGTACCGACTCATAGCAACCTTACGCATAGCAGAATGAAACATTACCCGATCCTGGGCCAACCTTACTATTGTTGCCATGCTCAGTGATGCTGCCACTTGGCCAATACATCTTGTTGAAGGGTCTTCCTCTTTTTCTCTGAGCCTCCACCTTACCAAACATGATACCCTTCTCCAGTGACTGGTTCCTCCTGACAATATGTCTGAAGTATGAGAGATGAAGTTTGGCCATTTTGGCCTCTGTAATAAGGAGTTATAAAAAAGCAACAAGAACACCCCCAGAAGCACTCAGGAGAGGGGAACCTTCACTTGGCCCTTTTCTGCACCCCACTTTGCAGAGATGAAGAATGCAGGAAACACAGGCATTCAAAAAGCAACATGAAAACCATGTAAAAGGACACACTACCGACACACTACCGACACACTACCGACACACTACAGCTCAGTCAGAAGTCAGGGAATGTGTCCTTACAGAGCGAGGTCTCATGACTGATGTTCTCGAAAAGGATGTTCAAGGTCTGCAGCAGCTGAACACACACATAGCGACCCGATTTCTGCCGAAGGATGTTCAAGAAGAAAACAAACATGTTCTTCTCCAGGAAGAAGCTGTGGAGAGAAAAAGAGAGTCAGTCGTTTGCATCTCTGGTCTAGGGTGGCCTCTGGTCTCATACAGAGAGGGCACATGTGTGTAGCCCCCGCCCACCCATCCACCGGAAGCACCCGCAAAAGCCAGCTCACACCATCTGCATGCCTTACGCATCCACACTATCCAGTTCCACAATACTGTTGTCCATCACGGCTAAAACCCACCTTTTTGCATTTCGTCTCTGGACATGAGAGCAGGGCTGACTGCGGGAAGCAGTGAAGAGGATTCCTGTTCTATGAAATGACTGAACTACCATCTGTACAGTCCTGACAAGCTGTGTCTTTACATCGAAGGCTATTTCTTATGGTTCCCATACTGTTATGGGTTGAACTGTGTTCCCTCAAAAGATATGTTGAAATCCTCACTCCTCAGTACCTGTACCTGTGACCTTGTTTGGAAGCTGATGTTGTTGTTAAGTGCTGTCAAATCAGTTCTGACTCATAGGAGTTCCAAGGAGCAGGTGGTGAGTTTGAACCACTGCCCTTGTGGTTCAAACGACCTTGCAGCCCAGTGCATTATCCTACAGTACCACTTTGGAAGTAGGGCCTCTGAAAATATAAAGATGAGGGCCTGACAAATTAGGGTTGGCCCCAATCCAGTCGGAGTGGCATCCCATAAGAAGAGAAGAGACACACAGACACATAGGAAAGGCGCTGTGTCAAGAGAGAGGTTCGGCCGGAGTGGTGCATCTCTAAGCCCAGGCTCCCCAGGGATGGCTGGCAATGCCAAAAGTTAAGAAGGCAAGGAGCAGATTCACCTCTAGAGCTTCCGAGAGAGCACACCTTGATGTCAGACCTCTAGGCTCTACAGCTGTGGGAGATCACGTGGGGGATGTCATGTGACACAGAGCTTGCAATGGCAGCCACGGCAAATGAACAAACATATTAGCCTCTCTCCTTTGCTGTTCTTATCTTTGAAGATTTCAAAACAAAAACAAAGAAGTCAACTGGAGTTCTCTACAAAGGGTGAGATTACACTGAATGTAAAGTGTCAGGGTTGCCAGATTGTGCAGTTTCCATGGGAAAAAGAACTGAGAGAAATACGAAGGTGCTGACCTGGTGGTGGGACCTAGCCAGTCTTCAGGTGGGTTTGTACCTGACTTGTCTGGACAGAACGCCTGTCTGCCCGCAACCTACGCAACACTGGCTTTTGGGAAACACAGTGCTTATTTTGGTCTTGAAAAAGCAACAAATCCTTAATGCCTTTCTTTACAGCAAGAAGTGATGCTTTGACTTAAGTATTGAGGGAAGACTCAGAAGGAATTTCTGCAGGACTCGTGTCTGCTGGTCAGCACGTTTGGGGTGTCTCTCTCCCTTCACCTGTCATCTCCACAGTGGCAGCATCCTGGAACTGGTACTTGCTCAGTGCAGCATAATTTCTGACGGAACTCTTACAAGGGTGAATGAATGAATAAATATGATCTAAAAAAAACCTCCCTAAAACCTTTCCCAGTTCTGATTTTGGGAGCTGGTTTATGTATGATGACGTTGCACTGTTGTTGGTTAGCCATTGTTCAGTGCTATCAAGACGGTTCCAACACACAGCGACCCTTTGTACAAAAGAAAGAAACACTCCCGGTTCCCAGTAATCCCTGGCATATCTCTATCATTTGGCCTATTCTGGCCTTCACATCAGAAAAGGAGTCCTAAAGGCACTCGGTGGCTAACCAGAAAGTTGGCGATTTGAACCCACCAGCCGCTCTAAGAGAGAAAGATGTGGCAGTCTGCTTCCGTAAAGGTAACAGCCCTGGGCACCCTGTGGAACAACTCTATGCTGTCCTACAGGGTCGCTGGGCAGTTCTACCCTGACTAGGCATCAGAAACAACTCAACAGTTATGGGTTTGGTTTGGGTTTTCACATCAAGATGTGTAAGTCAAGGCTCCCAAGAATCACCCCATAAAAGCACCACAGTATGGCAGCCAAGAAGCCTGGTTACAATGCTGGTTTTCCCAGCAGGTTTTCTAGACCTTGCCCCATAGATTGATTCGGTATACCTAGCATGAAATTGAGGGACCTCCATTTTTTTAATTTCCTAGGGAAGTGAGGGGACATCTTTGAGAAATGGTTGAGTCTGAGTCTGGGCTAGGAAAAATACAAGATGAGCCTAGAGCATCTTGTAGTGACAGGAAGTCTGGAAGTACGCAACACACAAAAGGACGGAGGGTATATCAAAAGGAAACAGAAGCCAGTATGAAAGAGCTGCTGGCGGCCAACGCTGGAACCATGTGACATGAGCCACAGAACATCTAAGGCAGAGTTGGATTCTAAACCAAAATATAAAATAAAGAGCAATGAGTTCCTATTGCTATGAATAACACGTGAGGGAGAGGAAACTAATCTCCCACATAGAACTTCAAATAATACAAGGTAGCTTCAAAAAGTTCATGGAAAAATGGAGTTAAAAAATAGTGAAATATTTCTACAGATTTTTCGATATGTAGCTACTCCTCCCTCCAGGAGTTAACAGTTACAGTTAGGTGGCCTTGAGTCAGTTCTGACTCACAGTGACCCTGTGCACAATAGAATGAAACACTGCCCATTCCTGCTCTACCCTCACAATCGTTGTCACGCTTTAGTCCATTGCTGCTGCCACTGTGCCAACTCATGTCCTTAGGGGTCTTCCTCTTTTTTGCCGACCTTCCACTTTATCAAGCATGAAGTCCTTTTCCACAGGCTGGTCCCTGCTAATAACATATCTGAAGTATGACAGACGAAGTTTCGCCAGCCTTACTTGCAAGAACATTCTAACTGCAATTCTTCTAACACAGATTTGTTGGTTCTTCTTGCATTTCATAATACATTCAATATTCTTCTCCAACATCATATAATTCAAACGCATCGACTCTTCTACCATCTTTCTTAATTCCCATCTGTACCCTGCTCCCCTGAAGATGGGCTATTTGTGACTCACTTTCAAGGTACTGCATAGGGAAAGAAGAGCAACTTTACAGTGGAGAGGAAGGGCAACCAGCACTTTAATCAAGTGATTAGGAAAAGCCCACCAGGAAGACCCCCCGCGAGACGGACTGGCACAGTGGCAGCAGCAACAACTGTGAGACTGGTACAGGCCTGGGCAGTGGCTCATTCCGTTGTGCAGAAGGTTGCGATGAGTCGGTACTGACTCGACGGTACCTAACAACAACCTAACAACCACCAATGATGTCATGTGGACATCATGAACCCCTGATGTGAAGCAATAAGAAGGCACTTTCCCTCTGCAGCCTTCTTTTCCCAAACTGCAGTCCCAACGGCCTCATGAGAAAAACACCAGATAAGCCCAGACTCGGGAACTTTCTATAGGAGACCTGGCTGTCAAGATCATGGAAACCAGGGACAGCATCAGAGACCAGAGGGACATGACAACTAAATTCCACGTGGTATCCTGGATGGGGGCCAGACACAGAGGAGACAGTAATGGGAAAAACTGGTGCAATCCCACTACAGTCTGGAGGTTGGTTCATAGTGACATACCTATGTGGGCTTCTGAGTTGTGATGGGTGCACGTGGTGATGGAAGCTGTTAGCACTGGGAGAAACCATGTGAGGGGAAAAGGGGAACTCTCTGTACTAGTCCTGCAACTTTTCCATAAATCTGAAATACTCCAAAACAGAACTCAAAGGGACTGAGAAAGGCCATACCAGTAAAGTGGACACAGCTCCAGATCTTTTCCTCTAGGGTCTTTCTCATTTCCAAAACAGATTCCAAAAAGTGTTTTGTTTTGTTTTTAATTCTCCATGGTTTCTTAAGAGACCTGGTGTGGTGTTGTAGGATAACCAATAGACTGCTAACCTCAAGGCTGGTAGTTCAAACCCACCATCTGCTCCTGGGAAACGTATACAGGATTTCTATGAGTAGGAAGTGACTCAAAGCACTTAGCAACAATAACAACAATAACATATTCACTTAAAGAAAGCTAGTCCCATTTCTAAGAAACAAGGTGTCCTTGGGGTCATACCTAGTGTCACCAATGACTTGCATTTTAAGAAGTTTGTATTCTCCACAAGTCATTTCATCTTAGAGAAGCTTAGTGATCTGAGATCGGTGCTGGTGCAGGTGAGCCGTGCAGTCACTTGCAACTCACAGCGACCCTGCAAAGCATCTCCGAGGCTGTAAATCTTTACAGGAGCAGAAAACTGCATCCTTCTGCCGCGGAGCTACTGGAAGATTCAAACTGCTAACCTTGCAGTTAGAGCTCAGCTTGTAAACCACTACACTCCCAGGGCTCCTTCCAATGTTGGTATAGCCTCTAAAGGGGCCAAGCTGAAAAACAGAACAGTCTTTTGTCTTTTTCTTGTAAGTTTTACATGTGGTCTCAATAGCCATCTTTGGGATTATGATGATAATCATAATGTTGATGATCCGTGTGGTGGCTGTCATACATACCCCAGCCCCAGCCCCATCTGCCGCACATAACGAGACAGGCCTATTGGGGGGAGTCTGTGGTTCAGTGCCTCTGCTTCTCACAATCTAGTCCTCCTTCCAAGCAGGAGACCTGGGTTCAATCCCAAGCAGTGCAGCCAGCAGCCATCTGTCAGTGAAGGCTAATGTGTTGTTCTGATACAGAACAGGTTCCAGTCAAGTGTCTGGACTAGGAAGAAGGCCCAGGGGTCTCCTTCTGAAAATGAGCCAACAAAACCCCAAAGGATCCCTACAGTCCAATCCATAGCCGATTATGGGGATGGCACAAGGTGGGGCAACCCCAATGCATGGGGTGGCAATCAACAAGGTGACCAATTGTGCACAAGAGCAAAGGGAGACTTGGTTATTATCATTTGCTTTTGCTTGCTGAGAGCCTGCTTTATACCAAGCACTAGTCAGGGGGTCTTTGCCCGCCCTTGTGTATCAGTGAGGAAATGGCAGCTCAGAGAGCCTGGCCTAAGACTGCTCCTCTGGGGAGTACAAGAGCAGGGCTAGAACCCCTCCATGGCCCTCAATGACCCTACTGACCAGCAGGATCCTGAGCTAGTGACACCATCACCCTGAGCTCCAGTTTCGTCTTCTAGAACATGGGGAGATCAACAGGACCCCGGCCTCAAGTGACCAGGAGACACCAGTGACATGGATTTGGTATCAAGAGCTCAAGGTAAACACCAGTCTCATACAGAACACTGTCTCCCTTTTCGGAAAGGAGTCAGACACACTTGGAAAACCATTCCTGCTATTTTCAGATTTTCCAGAGATGCTCACTTCCACACATGCCCATTGTGAAGTGCATATCCATGGAGTTCAGGGCATTGCTATAGATAGACACGGACAGAGATCTATGAAAACCCAAAATAGCATCATATCCTAACATCATCTGGACTCATGAAATACACGTGGGAAAAATTAAAAACATTCAAAGGAGGAGAAAGAATGAAAATAATAATAATAATATTAATAACAAGGAGACATTAGAAACCCATACTCGAAGACAGAGCTGTCATTCTGATCGCCCCAGATGAGGATCTCCGTGATGGAACGGATGGTCTCCACCAGCAGGTTCCGGTTCTGTTCTGTCACTGTGGTGTTTTTGGTCAACACGTGGTACAGATACCTACAGGAAAGGGAAAAACAAGATGAAAGATTACAACAAAAACAAAAGCCAGGCTCAATGACCACTAATAATAGCTGGGTGACAATACGCTTCCTCTTTTCAGATTCCAAAATCCTACTGCTGTCGAGTAGATTCCAACTCATGGCAACCCCACAGGGAGAGTAGAAGCTCGGGTTTCCCACCTCTTCACAGGGCAGACGCCTCGCCTTTCTCCCGTGGAGTGCCTGGTTAGTTTGAACCGCTGATGCTTTGGTTCTCAGCCCAATGCTGAACCCACTGTACCACAAGGCTCCTTTGTTCAGGTTCTGTTAGCACTAGTCCTCAGTCAGATTGGACACAACTCACAAGCCAAGAAAAATGGCAAACAAGGCTCAAAGTGTTAATAAGCTAGCACAACCAACACAAGTACAGCCATTGTCAACTTCCAGTGGGAAAGAGGACACTTGGGAACTGGAGGAAGCTGGCCCTTTCAGAGCCCATTCGGGGAGTCGGCTCAGCAGGACTGGGGGAAGAGCCAAGCATCCTGGGCTCTCAAGGGGATTCGGATGCTGGGAGAACAAGAGGAGCAAGCCAGCTCAGTGTCAAGTGCTGAGCCTGCAATCCAGAGCCAGGCTGCTGGGGCAAGATTCAGAAAGGGGAATGCACAGTTCAGACAGGGCGGGTCCTAGAACTGGAGGCTGGGCCAAACTTACATGCTATCCACACCATCCTTGGACTGCCTGGTAAAACTACTGGCTATCAAGTTGCGTCCCATTCAGGGTAGTCCCCAGTGTGTGTCAAACTCCATAGGGTTTCTTAAAGGCTGATGTTCTAGAAATGGTTGCCAGATGTTTCTGGGTGGACTGGATCTGCCAACCTTTTGGCTAGCAGAGACCACACACACACAGGGACCCCTCCCAGAGTGTAGTACACCTGTTAAAAATGATGACTTAAGTGGCTGGTTTGCAGATCCAGGGCAGCGGTCTTATTTGCTGAGTACAAACTGTTCAATTTACAAGTTTCAGGGGCCATGCCACTGTACTTCGTCCACAAACAGGCATGGAAGGCCATGCCACTGTCCTGTCCGCCTGTGGTAAGAGACCAAAAGGATCACCAAAGCCAGACCTGGGTAACGTGGGGACCGAAAGACTGGTCCGTCGCCCTGGGAGCACTGCCTGATGCGGCTTTTAAGAGATGGCTTCTAGAGGACCCACAGACGGAGGTCACATCCCCTATCACTAGAGCTTCAGGCTTGGGAAGGAAAAGGGAATGCCCAGAGGGTATGGATTGGGAAGCGTCAGCTCCTGATTTCTTTCATGACCACCTTCAGTTGTGGCAGGGGTGGGGGCGGAGACAGAGTCTGATGAGAACAAGGCAGGAAGGATTACACTACTTACCAACTCCACTCATTCTGACTCATAGCAACCCTCTAGGACAGAGCCCAAAGGGCCCACAGTCTCCCAGGCTGTCTCCTTATGGAAGTGCGCTACTACAGCTTCCTCCCGAAGAGTGACTGCTGGGTCCAAACCAACGACCTTTCGGTTAGCAGCTGAGCACTTAACCACTGCACTACCAGGGTTCCTTTACATAGGATTATAAAGAGACTGTAAACTCATAACGACCCTGTTGTATATGGTTCCTGAGGAGTGGCTGCTGGATTTGAACCATTGATCGTGCAGTTCGCAGCACAGCACTTATCCCACAGTGCCACACCAAGACTCCTTCAAATATATATCATATTCATTTAATCAACAACTTAATTAATTTAAAAACATGCAATTCTTAGCATGCAATAACAAGGATAATTCTCCAAAAACAGGCCTCCTCCATGACCTGTGCCCAACTTTACTGACAGGGCTGTAAGTAGGGGCGCATGGCCAGCTTCCCTCCACAAGAGTTGACGGCACCAGGACATACAGCCTCAGTCTACACATCTTCATCTCCCTCCAGCGCATTTTCCCCATGAGTATTTCCATGAGGCTTAAGGAGCAAGAGTTCTTCAAGTTCTGGCACCAGAATCACCTATATAAGCTGTAGGTTCTAGCTCCGCCTGCTCCAACCCCAAGTGGTGAAGAGCCCCTGAGAGCCCCTGCCCCACTCACACTGTGGCTAAAAGTGACAAAACAGTAACCAGTCTGTGCTGGAGGAAGTACAGCCAGAGTGCTCCTTAGTGCCAGGACGGCCAGCCTTGGTCTCTCATTTTCAGACATATTATTAGGAGGCACCAGTCCCTGGAGAAGGACATCATGCTAGGTAAAGTGGAGGGTAAGAGAAAAAGAGGAAGAACTCCAACGAGATGTATCGGCACAGTGGCAGCAGCAATGGGTTTAAGTGTAGCAAAGGCAGGACTAGGGAGTGTTTTGTTCTGCTAGGCATCGGGTCACTATGAGTCAGTACCAACTTGATGGCACCTAACAACAACAACAAATTTTTACAGGCAGACAGGTTCATCTTTCTCCCAAAGAGTGGCTAGTGGGCTAGAACCGTGAACTTGCCAAATGCCTAGCTCACAGAGCCACCAGAGCACACCACAGCAAAGTTTAAAAGCTATAGGACCAGGTCTGACTTCAACTGATGGGGCCTCTGCTGGTCGTGGTCCTGACCAGTGAGGAATGAACTAAGTTAGATCACACCACACGAGGCAGCAATAGCGGCACAGAGAAGCGGTGAGGCGTCAGGCTAGCGTCTGACAGACCTGGGCTCCTGGCGGCCGTGCCACTACATAACTGTGGCCATGCACTTGATTTCTCTGAACCTTGTTGTTGTTAGGTGCCGTTGAGTCAGTTCTGACTCATAGTGACCCTGTATAGGATTTCCATGGAGCAGCTGGTGGGTTTGAACTGCTGACCTTGCAGTTATTGCAGTCCAGTGCTTATCCTACAACACCACACCAGGAATCCTCTCTGAACCTTACTGTTGTTGTTAAGTGCGATCCAGTCAGTTCCAACTCATAGTGACCCTATACAGATTTTCTGAGGAGTATTTGGTGGTTTTGAACTGCCGATCTTGCAGTTACAGCAGTCTAGCGCTTATCCTACAGCACCACACCAGGACTCCCTCTGAATTTTAGCTGCTATAAAACAGTGGGTTGTTGCAGTAATTGAACATTATAACACGTAGAGAGAAGCAAGCATGGCATCTGGCACACACTAAGCACTCAACAGAAGATCAGCTACTCTTATTATTCCTGCATTGTGGCTCTTATGGTGGGGACGTTATGAGCATCACTTCTAAACTGTACAAAGAATACTCCAGAACTTAGGAAGGAAGGGTCAATCAGGGAAAAGTAACTTCAAAGGAAGACTTGTAATGGGAAGATGCAGAGACATCAGAGCAGAAAGCAGAAAGTCTGGGGATTATTTCTTGAGAGGTGGCAGAACATACAGGTTAATAAGATGCTGACGTCAGAACGCCTGGTCAGAGCACGGCCCCATCACTTCTCTGCTAGGTGATCTTAAGCCAGTAAAATTTTGCTGAAGATAATTTAAAGGTGGTTGCAGCAGTGCATGAGCAGGGAACTGCCAGAAATTCAAGTCAGATTCAGCAGAGGATATGGGACGAGGGATATCATAGCTGGTGTCAGACTCTGGCTAAAAGCACAGAATACCAGAAAGATATCTGCCTGTGTTTTATGACTATGCAAAGGTATTTAACTGTGCTGATCATTAAAAATTAGGAATAACACTGAAAAGAATGGAATTTCAGGACTCTGAACTGTGCTCATGAGGAAGCAGTACACAGACCAAGAGGCAATTATTCAAATAGAACAAGGGGTTTAAAATCAGAAAAGGTGTATGTCCCGGTTGTATCCTTTCACCATGCTTATCCAATCTGTACGTTGAGCAAATAGATGAGGAAGAACGCTGCGTCAGCATCCGAAGAAGACGACATAACCTAGTTTGCTGGAAGCAAAGAGGACTTGAAGTACTGACGAAGATCAACGACTAGAGCCTTCCATACCGATCCCACCTCAATACAAAGAACACAAAAATCCTCACAACCGGACCAGTAAGCAACATCATGACAAATGGAGAAAGGATATCAAGGATTTCATTTACTTGGATCCACAAGTAATGCCCATGGAAGCAGCCAAACAACGGATTGTACTGGGCAAAACTGTTGCAAAAGATTGCTTTAAAAAAAACACAAAAACACAAAATTAATTTAACGCGAAAAATTACGTGGAGCAAAGAAACCAGCAAACATACAGCCAAACAAGTGCAATTAATTTACACCGATCGATAATTGTATTGAACGTCAATGGATTAAATGCACTAGTCAAGAGACAGAGAGTAGCAGGATGGAAAAGAAAATAGGATCCTTCAATATGCTGTCTACAAGGGATACACCTTACAAAGACAAAAATATAAACTAGAAATCAAAGGATGAAAAATATATATCAAGCAAACAGCAATAAAAAAATGAGCAGGCGTGGAAATATTAATTTGTAATAAAATAAACTTTAAGGCAAAAACCAGCATAAGAGACAAAGAAGGACACTATATCATGATTAAGAGTCAACTAAACAACAGAATATAACCATAGCAAATACCTATGCTCCCAATGAAAGAGCCTCAAAATACATATATCAAACTCTTAGGAGCTCTGGTAGCATAGTTGTTATGAATCGGGCTGCGAATCTTAAGGTCAGCGGTTCGAAACTACCAGCCACTCCACGGGAGAAAGATGAGGCTTTCTACTCCCGTAAAGATTTACACCCTCGGAAACCCTGTACAGGGTCGCTATGGGTCGGAACCGACTCGATGGCACTTAACAACAACAACAACAAATAGTGCGGCACTGTGGGCTAAGGCACTGGACCATACACTTCAGTGCATTAACTCACAGTGTCATGTAGGAGATTGTAATACACCAATGGAATGGATTTGAGAACCCAGCAGTTAATCAATCCATCTATGCTAAGTTGACCTCTGACTAAGGACCAACACACATTTAGTGGGTAAGAGATATGTCTCTTCAACAAACGGTGCTGGCAAAACTGGAAATCCATTTGCAGAAGA